CGCTTGACCCCACCTATCCTGATCCCGAGCAGCAGCTTCAACAGCCATCTCAACCCCAACACCAATCCCAACAGCAACACGATTCTGCATCGCAACAAACAACTCTTGGCATCGGATGGGACCATCCTGTTTTTCAACAGCAGCAGAGAGAACTAGCCCCACGACCTGAGCCTAACCATGGTATCTACTCGTCGGTGCATCAGCCTTGGCAGCAAACAAATCCTCTGCAACAGCCACCGCAACGAGGATATGGAGCTTCGCCCCAGTATCAAATACATCCACAAGCTACTCAATTCCAGCAAGGGCAGATGTCCTTTGACTCCCGTCCCCTGAGTGCCTCCGAATCTTCGGCATTTCCGTCATTTTCATACCAGCCAAATTACTTCCATCCACAACACCCACACATCTCGGTGCCAGACACTTTCCCCGAAGCACCTGCGCAGCAGAGGATACAGCCACGACTACAGCAACAACCTCAGCCACCAATTTCTTCGTACCCTTTACCTCAAGGCTACTCCTCAGAAATGCTGGTAAGATGACCTGAAATGCCCTTCATGGTGACCGTGATTCTGACCCCAGGCAGCAAAACACAATTGATCTGACCAACGATTACGCCGATTCAGACCCGAATGTCACCATTAACCCCCAGTTCCTTAATTCTACCCCGCAGGCATTCAATCAACAGCAGTCTTCGTTGGCAAATAACTTTCTTCAGAGAATCCCTGCGGAATTCCAACGACAAGAGAGTGAACAGTAAGCTATTACTTGGATTTGTGTCTTTTCAAAATACATCTACTAATTTTCGGAAGGGCCAGGCTATTCAATTACTACCAGCATGATCTTTCAGTTCAGTCGCAAATGGCACCAACTGGAAACCAGGTGCTTCCCCCTAGAGGTATGTCCAAACCAGTTGAGATCCATTGCATTAGAATTTAACACTGACTTTCCTAGGATTACCAGTACCGCAAGTTGTAATCACCAATAAGAAGGAAGCTCATAACAAGCAGCAAACGAAGACGACCTCTGCAAATGGTCAAATAGGAACTGTGTCTACATCAGAAAGTGAAAGTTCGGATGAATCTGATCTTGAGATTGAAGCACCCGACGAGCCGTCGCCTATCCCTCCGACCCGTCCGACTGAGCCCGAGGCTGCAGCCCAATACGATACCCTTCAAGCTGTATGGTCACCAAGGAACAAATGGCCTGGTCCTGAGAAGGTCAAGAGTGCGCTTGTAGCCTACAAAGAACTTGTCAAATCATTGAGAGATGCATGGAAGGAACAAGTTCAGGCGATGAAACTAGCAGAAAACCAAGACGACAACCAAAAAGCAACCAAGCTTAAAGAAAGGGTCATTTCGCAACGTCGAATTATGGACAAAATTGCGACCACAACACTGGAAATGGGTCATCCCAATATTGTTGATAAGTATGTATCCCTCTCCCATCCCAACTCCTATATCTCACCCCGCCCCTCTATCTGGTTATGATGGCCACAAAAATCTTCAAGCTATTTGAGAACACCTATAAATATTCCTGGAAGCATTGGATATGACAGCACTGTCACGGGCTAGAACAAAGGGCCATCGCTCCATTCGCCGGTGGCAAGGCTTGATTATACATGCATGTCCTGGACACATATAAGAATACCAGATGGAGCAAAAAGGTCCCTATCATATTGAGTTCCAGATATGCTCCTGGGAGGTCATCTGTGAACCTCATTGAAGTGGAATCGCTGCTATCTAGAAATTGGCTTTAACTTGCAGCATTGTGTGGCAAAACTTGAAACATTGACATAATTGAGCTCAAATGACTGATTGTTAATTTCATGTAGGCTGGGAGAGCACCCTATGATCGTGGCAGCTCTATATTCCTTCTTGGTCGACCGTTTCCAGGCAGCAGACTTTGCTGGGACTCTGACTATTAATTTGCTTGAGGTAAGTTTGCCGTTTATCTTTGTGTCGAATAAATTGACTAACATAGAATAAGCTCTTCTCGCGTTTCTCAACTTTGACCGAAGACATGCTGCAAAAGACCAATCTTTCCAAGTTGCTGCCCAAGTTCCTCAAGAAAGGTGGCCAGCAGCTTAAGGACCTCACACAAAAGATCTTGGACAATGCCGCGGCCTCTACGAAGCGTAAACAGGAGAGTGAAAAGTCTACCAAAGAAGAGCATCCAAAGGGCCTTCCAGCGGACCAGCCCAAGGGAGACGCTGGAGCGAAGCGCCCCCGCGAAGCGGATAACAATCTACAACCTGGCGCAAAACGAATGGCAGTTGCCAACAGCTTGAAGGATACGAATAAACTTACACCAGGCAATGGACTGGCCAAGGGAGCACAAAGTAGTAAAGCAACAGGCGCTGCGGTGCTGCGCCCTAAACCCAATATCGTCGCTCCCAAACCAACAAGTCTCTTTGGCACTTTAAGCTCAGCGTCGAAGAGACCCGGGACCACAAATGCGGATAGGGCTGCTGCTGCGGCTGCAGCAAAGCCAAAGTATGTACCCATGGGGAGAGTGGTTCCGAGACTCACCTGTATTAACCCTTCAAATAGTGCTGCTTCTGAAAAGGAAAAGACACCAGCCCCGAAACCAGCTTTCTCTTTTGGTGACATTATGGCCGACTTGAACAAGCCAAAGCAGGCGCCATCTCCCAAACCTGCCGAAGACCAGCCCCCGGAGACTGAAGCCGAGCGCGCAAAGAGGTTACATAAAGAAGAGCGCCGTAAACTTCGCGTGACCTGGAAGCCAGATGATGCTCTTACTGAAATTCGACTATTCACCCACGACCCCGACGAAGAATTAGGTCCCGGCGACGGGTCCTTGCGTTCACGGGGAGATGTTAAAGGTGAAGGTAGTGTTCTTAAGCTTCACAAAGATTTGGACGAGCTGGAAGAAGAGGATCTTGGTGGTATTCGCGAGACCGTATTCCAAGATGGTTATGCTCTTTCGAGTAGGTTATTCCTCCAAATATACCTCGGATTATTACTGACCATTATAGTGATCGATTTCGATTTCGAGGAATCAAAAGACAGCAGTTTCATCAAACGCGGCGGCCTTCAACTGCCAACGAGCCCCGAGAGAGAGGCTCAGGAACATCGGGAATCTACTACCCTGATGGTATTCTACACTTCCCCTGCCGACATGCCTGACACACCCAAGGAGCCACCGACTCCTGACCCCGACGAGGTTGTTACTGAGGTATTGCCTTTCGGGGAGTTGCCCGATATGGTCAAGGTATGCTATACTTCTAAGAGTAGTATGATTCAACACTAACCAATGCACTATAGGTCCGCCAGGAGCGTTATTACTCCTATATGAACCCCAAGCCTGCGGCTCCCCAACAAATCCAGCAACCGCAGCAACCTACTCCCGGGGACAGTGGATTTGACATTTCCAATTTGCTCAAGATCATCCAGGGTGTGCCTGGCCAGGCGCAGCCTATCCCACCACCGCAGGCAACTCAACCCGGGGTCATGCCGGATCTCGAGAGGACTATCAACATGTTCCGTCAGCAACAACCTCAATCCCAGGTCGCCCCGGCTCCACCAGTACCCACTCCTCAGCCTCAAGGCCTTGACTTCAATGCGATATTGAATGTCATGAAACAAATGCAGGCGCCAACTGCATACTCCCAGCCCCAGCAACCACAATCAGCAATGGCACCGAACCTCGGCGCCATGTTCGCCCAATTCGGCGGGCAGAATCAACAAGCTGGTGCTCTCCCATTCCAACAGCACGGCTATGACTATGAAGACCCAGAGCGCAAGCGAGGCCGCGAGGGTTATTATGACGACCAATCAAACTCAGATTCATGGAGCCGCTCAAAGCGGACCAGAGTTGGCACGAACGAGGCCAAGCCTGTAAGTACAATGTGGATTCAGCATTTTATGATGAACAATTGGCTAACTCTTTTGAAACAGTATAAGGTGGGACTCGTTGCCTGCAGATTCTGGGCTGAGGGCAAATGTCGCAAAGGCGACAATTGCACTTTCCGCCACGATCCTCTCTAAATCAACACCATGTATCGCCACGTGCTTCCTTTTCGACAGATACCCTTGTACTACTGTTTTCTACATTGGTACAATCTTCCTTTCTCCCATCTATGCATTACTATGTTGGTGTATGGTTTTCTTCTTTCTTTTTTCTTTCTTTCTTCTTTATCTTGTACTGGGTCATGGACATGCATTTTACAACTAGAACTCTCTAGTTGGCGTTCATCGGTCTGGGAGGTCGGCACATATTGATTTGTCCTTTTTAAAATCCTTTGCATGCCCCCGGGTTCAGGCGTTTTCCTTTACTTTCTACTTGTCTCGCCTTTGTTTCTCGCTTCGCGTATGCATTCAGCGAAGGGCCCCATATCTGGGAGCTGGTATTATGGCGCATGGATTGAGGGCGATGACAAAAATGTACAATTAGGATATCATTATCATTTTTTTTTCACAGCCAAGAATATCTTCAGCTCAATGGTCTCTTTCATTTTCATCTCTTAGTCTTAGTAGAGGAAACGTCGGATCAATGATAGAGGTGGTTATCAAGCGGAGTGTGTATTCGGTTTTAAGGCAGTTTGTTAAGAGTGAGGAGTTTCAGGAAGATCGACTATCTTGGAGAGGGTCGATATGCTAGAGGCGTGGTTGCTTTACTACGGCCTCGGTTTGATATGTGTTATAGTTATAGTTGACTTGTCGACAATCTAACAATTTGATAAAAATTTACTATATTTGCCTGATGTTACTATTAATATCAGACAAAAAGAAAGGTCGTGCCCGGGATCGAACCAGGATTGCTGGTATCAGAAACCAGAGTGATGGCCATTACACTACACAACCAATTTTTTTGATAGCAGGTTTATTAACGGGTTCATGAGCAAGTAGATGAGTTGATCAGAAGTACAATGGGGTGATATTGTGGTGTGTAAGATGTATGATGGACAGATATATGAAATGTGGGATCATGTGATATTGGGAGATTCAAACAGCGTGAAGGAATTGGGATAGGAACGATATTTAATTACTAGAATAGTAGAATATATGTGCAAATGTTTTTTTTATTCAATATTAAAGTGCAAATAGACCAATATATACATATCCACCATGGAATATATAGATGCCCATTATTAGCTACATTAACATACCTTGGGTGTTCTCGGTCCAAGGCGAAGGGGAAAAGTCTGATGGGCCCAGTCAGCCACAGACGAGGAGGAGAAGAGGTAGAGGCAAAAGACTGCTTGTTTTTGAGGTGGTCAAACCGCGTACAGTTGACATCGCCCTGACTCGCCAAGCTGATCTTCAACCAGTCGTTACGTGTAACCTGCTCTCCAAGCGAGCTGCGCATGCGAAAAATATCCTCACGATACAGACAGTTATTCTCAAAGCGCCAGCTGCACAGCAATACCCGGAGCATGTCGCCTTCCCGCCCGGAGATCAAGGCCACGATGGTGAAGATACGGTGCGTTCTAGGCAACCCCAGTTCTTGAAACTTATTCTTCCAATAGTTCTTATCGGGTTCCTTGCTTATTCGGATATCACAGTCCCGCAGTTCCCCAGAGAAGACAGTCGACAAGGCTGTATACGACAGGCGAAGATTGTCACTCTTGCAGTCCCCGCGTATATACCGAGATGGGCATTTGCAACCAATCCCCAGCCACCGAACCGATACATATACCAGGCGTGTCAATGGATAGGCTGGGCCGCTTTTGCGGTACATGTCATTAGTATCGGGATGGCAGCCTTGTACACGCAAATCGTCTTAGTGGTGGTGATTCTCGTTTCTACCGTCCTCACGGCTCACAGGGTTGGCTATGAAGACTCATGAATATGGGAATCCATTCAAAGTCACCGGGGCCATGAAGCCCAAGAAAATAGCTGCTGGGTTAGCCCAAGCCTCAAGGCCACCGTATTTATCTACCCCGAAGAGTATATGAATTGGCCTGACTTAAAGGAAAAAAAACCCTTACTGTGCATGTAGGCAATGAAGAGAAGATTGGTCAACAATGGACCAGACCGATAGGTCCATCCGACTTGGAATCTACTCCGATCTCGACAAAGCAGAAGTCCGAAACTCGGCAGGACTTACTTGCTTGGCTAGACTTAACGACGGAGGAAGACAAAGTGCTGACCGCTTGGGGGCTCATACCACATAGTTTGGAATGGCAAAATCCATATAGAGAGAAAAAGAATATACACCGCAGGAGACTTGGGATGATAGGATTGGAATCCATCCATTGATGGGATGTGAAGGTTGATGTCTTGGAAAATCAGGGGGTCGTCCTTACCGCCCTTGTCTTCTAACTATCAAAGACTTTGGATGAAGTTGTTCACCAACATAATTCCCAATAATCACCCATAATTTATTAGCGTCATTTATGTCTTACATTGTGATGAGCTCCAAGCCATTTGCTAAATCCACCAAAATCCACCAATATGGTCTCCAACTCAGATGCTGACTTTGCTATATGCAATCACCTCATTATTGTTTGCTGTCATGCTATTTACACCGGAGGTTCACATCTTGGAGCCTCAGAAGATGAGTGGTTAGTGAGACCCGAATATGCTCTTTATAGGAAGACAGCACCTTATACACCGAGCAGGCTGATTGAGCCCTTCCAAAAGGGCGAAACACCCACATTCACCGATCATGTCAAAGCCGGGTTGAAAGCTCTAGCAGAAGACCCTCATAGCCTGCTTGTGTTTTCTGGGTAAGACGATTTTATCATATCTTTTTCAATTTCTTCTCGTTGATCCATCGTACAGAGGACCTACCAAAAAGCCCAGAACTGAACTCAGTGAAGGTCAATCTTACCTCGTAAGGGGCCCAAATTCCCTAAAACCGACCACTCAGAAAGCTCACTCACAGCAACACATAGAATCTGGCGAGAGACAATGGCTACTTCCAAGAAATGTCCACTTCCTCCTCAATTGACCCATCAAGAGTCATCGCAGAAACCAACGCGACAGATTCATACCAAAACCTATTATTCTCCATAATACAGTTCCGAGTATACACAGGCGTTTACCCACAGAAAGTCACAGTTGTGACGCACGAGTTTAAACGCGCTCGATTCATGCAGTGCCACTTTCCAGCCGTGGGACTCGTCCCAATTGGCCTGGAACAAGAAGACCATGCGCATAAAGTTGCTGTGATAGGCATAAATCCACCAGAGGACATCACTCCAGCAGAGACCTTGACTCGAGGGGAGGCTATGAATGGGATTGGGCTTTGGAGAGAAGATCTTTACGGAGTGAACTCGGATCTGGTAGGCAAAAGGGTAAAACGAGGCTGGTCCCCTGGAATGGAAAATGATATATTTTCCCATCTGGGACTGGAAAATGTGGTGTTGCATCTAATCCGCTATGATGGGGGTGATCATTGCAATAAGTGGTTTCCGAAACGAGAGAGCCTGCCTTGGTCTTATACTAGACATGATACAACCAAGAGGCCTTGATTTTGATTGAGAACAAATATCAAGACTTCCGGCATGATAAGTGGAAGAAGTCCTTGATCCTTTCCCGAAACGCCAATCCATAGTATCCTTCGTATTTGATCATAATGTGCCACTAAGAGCTCAATCCGCCAGCCGGTAGCTGACCAGAGTCCCAACTCGGTGATTGTTTGTGCTGAAGCTCCTCAGTTGGACCTTCTCTGCGTTCTTAATTTCCTTGGCATCACTGTCGCCCCATTCCACGGGCACATCTGAATCAGCATCGGCATAGACAAGTACATTGAAGGTGCAGTCGCCATCAAGGACGGGGAGGAAGGTGACAGAGGCGGTGATTTGGCGGAAGATGGCTTGGATCTCCTCCTGGATTTGCTTTTCTGTCTTCTCGACAGGCTCGGCGGGTTTTGCCTCTCTTTGAGACAAATATGTTAGATTAGTGGGATGATCATGATAAGCTTGCAGTAGACAAACTTACCCCGGTGTACTGTTCTCTTTGTCGCCGGCTTTCTGTGAGCTCTTGCTTTTGGATTGCTTGCCAAAGATTTCGATCTATCCCATCGGGTTATAGTTAGCCACAGGCTCGGATGGGAGAGTGTCGAATGCATACGTCGAATTGCCATCTCTCCACATGTTCACCGGTCTCCTTGCTCGTGATAACTACCACGAGCTTCGAGATCTTTCCTCCCTGCATCCATTCCTTCAACTGTGACATGATCTTCTTGATGTAGGCTTTGACCTGGTCGTCGGCCGAAACTGCTAGGAGGTTAGGGTCGTTGACATCGATCTAAGTACGGCACGGTTCACGAACCCAGCATATTGAGGCCATATTTTTTAATCCTGTTTCCAATTAGCTTGCTGTACTGTAGCAGGCAAAGTTGAGAGAGCATACTTACGTTGTGAAATCCTCGGGGGATAGACTCCTCGTTGGAAGCTGAATACCCGATGCGATCAGCCAGTGTTTTGGACCGAGTGCGATCAGCAACTTACAGGATTGAATTAATCGAGTATTCAAACTGAGACTGTTAGTACTCGAACTCCATTGACGCAACCACACGGGCGACTCACGAATTCGGAGACAAGCTTGGCCGATCCTGTTATCTTGTAAGCTTTGTACAACCACGAGAACTACATAAGTAGACGATGGGTGCAAACCTTTGATTGACAGCTTGTGCACCTTTGACTTCTCCTTGGTTTCCGGCATGATGAGCTTGTAGATGAGGACTTTGAAGGTGAAAAGAAAGGTAGAGCTTTGTTTATGTCGAGTGGTCACCGCAGCAATAAACAGTCACCGCCCGCCCGCGCGTCCGTTTTTTTCTCCGCAAATCGTGACGAGACCAACCAGCACTGAAGCGCTAATCGATTTCCCCGCGGATACACTTCGATTCGACGCTTGCATACCATCAGCCCCTCCTATGCCACCGTAGACGTCCCGATGCGAGGATGTCTGCAGTTAGGCCGATGGCTGAGCGCAGCGCCGAGATGCCAGGCCGCGAGCCTCCGACCAACTGTCTTTTCTGCGTATAGTTATAAAAGGAATTTCTCTACTACTACGATCTACTATGGACGTCCGAAAACGACACCCATGAAACTGGACGTCGACCTTGAGAAGAGAATCGCCGCAATCCCAATCGAACGTTTTCGCAATTTCTGCATTGTTGCACACGTTGATCACGGCAAGAGCACACTTTCCGATCGTTTACTCGAATTGACCGGTACGATTGAGGTGGGCACGAACAAGCAAGTTCTGGACAAACTTGATGTCGAGCGAGAGCGAGGAATTACAGTCAAAGCACAGACGTGTACTATGATTTACAACCATAAAGGAGAGGATTATTTGCTACATTTGGTCGATACACCTGGTCATGTGGACTTCCGTGCTGAAGTGTCGCGAAGTTATGCCAGTTGTGGTGGAGCAATCCTCTTGGTTGACGCCAGTCAGGGCGTTCAGGCGCAGACAGTCGCCAATTTCTACTTGGCCTTTGCGCAAGGCCTCGAGTTGATTCCCATTCTCAACAAGGTCGATCTACCCTCATCAGATCCAGAGCGGGCTCTGGAGCAGATACGAAGCACATTCGAGATTGACACAGAAAATGCGGTGATGGTCTCGGCAAAGACTGGATTGAATGTTCCGGCTGTGCTTCCGACGGTGGTAGAGAAGATCCCGGCGTAGGTTTAACTAGTGCCCTCCCAAAGTGCGGTTTTTGTACTAACTGTATGCTAGACCTATCGGCGATTCTACGAAACCACTTCGTATGCTCCTCGTGGATTCCTGGTACGACTCCTACAAGGGCGTGATCTTGTTGGTTCGTGTTTTCGACGGTGAGGTGCGTGCAGGTCAGCAGCTTATATCTTTCGTTACCGGTCTCAAATATTTTGTTGGTGAAGTCGGCATCATGTATCCGACTGAGACCGCGCAAACCGTTCTCCGTGCAGGTCAGGTTGGGTACATCTACTTTAACCCAGGCATGAAGCGGAGTAAGGAGGCCAAGATTGGCGACACCTTCACAAGAGTCGGTTATGAAAAAATCGTCGAGCCTTTGCCTGGATTCGAAGAGCCAAAATCAATGGTCTTTGTGGCTGTATACCCAGTGAATGCGGATCTCTTCGAGCACCTGGAGGACAGCATCAACCAGCTAGTCTTGAACGATCGAAGCATCACAGTACAGAAAGAGTCCTCTGAGGCCTTAGGCGCCGGTTTCCGTATGGGCTTCTTGGGAACCCTTCACTGCTCTGTGTTTGAAGACCGTCTACGACAAGAGCATGGTGCCAGTATCATCATCACACCACCCTCCGTACCAGTCAAGGTCGTGTGGAAAGATGGCACCGAAGAGATTATCACCAATCCCGCCAAATTTCCCGATGATGATAGCGTACGACTCAAAGTTGCCGAGGTCCAAGAGCCATATGTTTTGGTCACTTTGACATTCCCAGAAGAGTACTTGGGAAAGGTGATTGAGCTCTGCGAGGCCAACCGCGGTGAACAACAAAGTATTGAATACTTCACAGCGACTCAAGTCATTATGAAGTACGAGCTGCCGCTGGCCCATTTGGTTGATGATTTCTTTGGAAAATTGAAAGGAGGTACCAAGGGCTATGCCAGCCTGGACTACGAAGAATCTGCATGGCGAGCCGGCAACATTGTCAGGCTACAACTCTTGGTCAACAGGGAGCCAGTGGACGCTGTAACGCGGATTATGCACTCGAGCCAGGTGAGCCGACAAGGCAGAATTTGGGTAACCAAGTTCAAGGAGCATGTTGACCGGCAGCTTTTCGAGATCATCATCCAAGCTGCTGTTGGCAAGAAAATCATTGCTCGTGAGACTATCAAGCCTTACCGAAAAGACGTGCTGGCAAAATTGCATGCTAGTGATGTAAGTCGGCGAAGAAAGCTGCTCGAGAAGCAGAAAGAAGGCCGCAAGAGGTTGCGAGCAGTTGGAAATGTGGTGATTGAGCACAAAGCTTTCCAAGCATTCTTGGCGAAATAAACATGTAAATTAGCAACCAAATACACTGTATAACATTATTTCTGAGATATCAAAGTTTATTCATGGAAAAGTCCATTTCACAAATTCAAGCTTCTTTCCGCTTTTTTCCGCGCTCTACCTCGGAGGCTTGAAAAGAAAGCCAAGATATTTAGAGAAACAAAAAACATCTAGAAATAGAACTAAAAAGACGACCAAAAAGACGAATAAAAAGACATGGCAAGGCCGCATAAGTGGCCGACTATTCTTGTTTTTATATTAGAGACATTTCTACAAAGCTGCAGATCACTTGTGCCAAGCGGTGAGA